CCTCCACCAATTTTGCTCCTCTCCAAAAGTGGGGGGATTTGGAAGGGAGAGAAAATTTTAACACATAAAATTACTATATTGTCATTATATAGAATATTTTATTATTTTGTTTCTTACATTATTAATGATATTGTTGTTGTTGGAAATTTAACAACTAGCAGGATATGATTAAAGCATAAAAAGTGAAGACTGTATTATTATTGAATGATTGTTGAGTACAAGAAGTCGGTTTATTCGTGAACCGAACTGTTTTTGCGTACGTACATTAAACTCCCGTAAGGATCCCTTTACAATGATAAATTTTTGCTATTTATAGTAGATAATGTTTGACTTCTGGTACAAGGTAGATACGATTGCATTTAATGCAGGACAACATTTTGAAGCGGTCTGTCGGTCAAGGAGGGAACAACAATGATTACACGTTTTGCACATGGTCCAATTAGGAGGATACCTTGTCACATGCTGTGAAGTTCGGTCAGGTCGGACCTCAGTTTGGGGGTCGAAACTTCGAGAAACCTTCGAGAAGTCGGTTGTCGAAGGATCTCAGAGAAGTCGGTTATTTTCTTTGAACCGAAGTCGGTTTAATGTCCAGCCTGAGCCGAGTTGAGTTAAGTTTGCCGTATGAGTGAGTTTGAGCAGAAATCTTGATTAATGAACGCTAATCAACAATTCAGGTCGATTGTCAACAGATATAATTGTCATTTTCGCAATATTTTCTTTCCCCTCCATTATTTTAACCAAACAAGTTTTACCATTTTCGCTTCACTCCCCTCCTACAAAATCCCTCCAAACAAAGTAAAATTACTTTATATCAACTCCCCTTTCACTATCTTCTATTGAAATCTCTCTCCTCCCTTCCCTTCCATTTGAAACAAACATACCCTTCCATAAATAATAACGATCAACTGCCTATAACACGTGTGAGCCTGTCTCACGTACGTCGATAATCCCTACACTCCCCTCGCAAGTCATCTCCACCGGAGATGGCGGCGCCGTGCGACGGAGGATCAGAACCTCACGCAGGTGGCGCGCCGTCGAAGTGCTCGTGCGGCTCGAACAACTGCGCGGAATGCGGTCGGAGGCGAATGTCGACCTCCAGCCTGCCATCGTCGTCGTCCTCCTGTTCCCTGCTGAGCTTCGATTCCTATCCAGTTCAGGACTACGATAAGACATGGAGAGTTTTCACGGCCACTGTCAAAGGCTTCGCCATCGGTGCCGGACTTAAAGGTGGACTGGCCATCTTCGCTTTTCTCACCCGCCTTCGCCGCCGGCGATTACTACCGGCTTCCAAGTATATTTTCGAGCTTGACTTGATATGTGACCTATTTCCTCCTGATTACTGTATCTTCCTTGGTTAATCCGCTTACTGATTGTGGAGATTAAAATTTTGCTTTGTTTTGTCACTTTAATCAGTATCTTTTATCTGCAATTACTTGTAGATATCGTCCTAAAACTCTGATTTTATGGCGTAATCTATTAATTAGACTATGTAGCTGCGCCGTGAAGTTGGTTTTAGATGGAATTGGAAACATTCACTAGGAAATTCTTAAATTTTCTGCTGAGTTACTTCAAGGCTGAGATTCCATGAGTTCCGGTAAACAAATGGATTAAATCGTAAACAAATATGTAGTCTATTTATAATCGAGTGAGTGCCGGTAATTTAATTAGTCCTGTGCATATCATACCAGGGAAGCCGATAATCATTCCCATTCATCAAATGTTTATGAATTTATTTTCCTTTTTCAGGAAAGTTGAAATGGCTTCAATCAGTGCAGATATGGTTTTGGCTTTGAAAGAGACTCTAAGATATGGATTATTTCTTGGTTCATTTGCTGGGACATTCGTGTCCGTGGATGAAATCATTGCTGCTTTGGGTGGTCACCGGAGGCATGATTTCACCTTTTCTTTTCTTCATCATTATCTATTATATTTACTACTCAAAAGTGTAACTTTATTTCTTAATAATTTGAAGTTTATTGTTCGAGCCAGATTCTTTATTGGATATTCTACATTTTAGCGGTTGAAATTTCGTAAATATTTAGGACTGCGAAGTGGAGAGCTTTGCTGGCAGGTGCGCTAGCCGGCCCATCAATGCTGCTGACTGGGTTGGATACTCAGCACACAAGTTTGGCAATTTACATTTTCATGCGTGCCACTGTATTGGCTTCACGCTGTGGGATAAAAAGCAAGAAATTTGGTCATATATGTAAGCCTCTAACATGGGCACATGGAGATCTTTTCCTTATGTGTCTCTCCTCTTCTCAAATTCTGTAAGAGCCCTATTTCCCTTCAACTAAAGAATAATATATA